GGAGGGGAATAAGAAGAGGGGAGGGAATAAGAAGAAGGGGAGGGGGGGAATAAGAAGAAGGGGCAGCTCTATAGGACAGGGGCCAAGACAGGGAGCTCTTTCACACTACGCGCGCACACACACACAATGCATCCCTATACATACACAGAAACACAACATGCTTCCCTTACACACAGAGAAACACACAATGCATCCTGTGGGGATATTTATGGGATAATAATAGTAACAGTGAGAATTGCCCACTAATTCAATTCTCAGATCCCAAAGAACGTTTATCGTGTTAAGTGGAATGTATTTCATATAATTAATATCACAATGTATAAAAATAGATTTTATTTATGATAATCAATAATTAACAAATAATATTATGTAACATGCATAACAATAATCAATGAATATCCAGTACATAATTATATGCAATACAAAGAAATGGGTATTACGTTTCAATGGCTATTAACTCATTATCTGTCAAGACTTCTACGATTTATGAGGTATCCTTAACACAGGCTGAAAGTGAAACTTTTCACACAGAGAACAGAATTCCTCAGAGTGCAGCATAAGGTCGTAAAGTTTAGCAGACAGTTAGAATAACCCTTTCAATGCTGGCTAGATCTCCTAGGTAGTTAATATCTATTCTTATGTATTTTTAAATAAAATAACATTTAAACCAGTTCATTAGCCATTTCCTGAAAACAATCCAATAAGAGAATCTACATATTATATAAGCAGATTTTTAATTTGTCTAAAAGATATCTATCTTAATTTAGAGCAAATCAATACACCTGGATAAAAACAGCGGTATGCTAACACGTGATAATATCGCATCAATATATAATTATTCTTAATTCCACCTGCAGAATGGAATATTTATAACTATATATTCTTAGTTAACTAAGATTTCTTAATATGGAAATCTGACCGTGCTTTATCCAGTCATATATAATGCTATTAATACATTTTAATTAATTTAATTTAATTAAATGAAACCAGTATAATTACCAGTTGAGTAGATATTTCATCCGATTGGTAGTCTCTCTGCATGGAGGTGTTGGTTAGAAAGTCAGTAAATTCTAAGTGTTAGAGTTTTAGGAGTAGAGTGTTAGTCTCAGATGGTGTCCGAGTTGGAGTTCCCAAACTTCCAATTCCTCTCTCCTCTCCTTTGCATATCTTGCATCTGCCTCCTTCTCTCGTATCTCTTGTATCTTCCCTTTGTCTTAACTTTTAAAGGGCCAGACTCTCTGTACGTCATCAGTTGATAACCCAATAGAAGCACTAGAGGTGTGGTTATCTTCCAGATCGCAAATTAGTTATTTGGTCTGTAGAGGGCAGTCTTGTCCCACTAAGCATACCTATCCAGGAAAGAGTTAACTTTTCCTGGTGGCTATTTTGACGTCATTTTGGCCTATCTAGATAGTGGCTATAACTTACGTATCCTTCAAAGATCAAAGGGGTTCTTAAATTTTGTCCAGACTATGTGTCTGCAAATCTGCTATAATTTCTGATATGACAGATCACCCTTTTCCATACAATGGTACCTTATATGTATAGACAGTTAAATATTAAATTATTTAATCTTCTCTGTCACAATTGTCTGGGTTTAGATTTGATTATATTCTTCTTATCACTTGTTTATACTATGCTATACATTCCTTAGCTCTGGCAAAGAGGCCAGTCTTACAGAAAGAAATCTAGTGTCTTCTTTGTTAACTTGAAATAACAAAATGGAGTCTGGTCTGTTCAGAGTGACTCAGAATATACACTTTTAGTTTCTATCATAGCACAAAATGTCTGCCGATATAAATACTCTGACAATCCATTACACACACACACACACACAATGCAACCCTTACACACAAAGACAATCCATCCTTTGCACACATACACAGAAACAGACAATGCAAACCCGTACACACGCATGCAAACACACACACTTCTTTTCTTACATACACACAGAAACACAATGCATCTCTTACACTCAATGCACACACATACAGACACACACCTTGCATCCCATATGCATACAAACACAGATTCACACAATGCATCCCTTACACACAACCAGAAACACATAATACATCCCTTATACACAAATACACACTTCTTCCACTACACACAAACACACTGCATCACCTGCACAAACTGGTAACCCTAAACACTACATACCATAAGCACACATATTAGATCCTCTACAATAACACATCCCCTACACACTCCACTCCCTGTGAGCGAACTCATGGGTGGGTGGAACTTATGAGTGGGCCTTATAGGCATACTCACCGTCAGGCCCTGGGGCCCAGACCTTGAGCTGTGTAAGGGGCCCCCAAAAAATTGAGCTGCTTCCAATTCTCCCAGAACATTGAATTTTGTGACCACAGTTGCAAACAGCCTCCAGAGATCTTGTTCTACACCAGACCAGTGGAGCCAAACTGCAGCCCATCATCATCCTCATCTGCTTGTAAGTAGGCAATCTAGTATATTATTAGTGACACTAATCTATAATTTACCTCACATTAAAAGGACACTATAGCTTAATGAAGTGGTTCTGGTGTCTATAGCTGGTCCCTGCAGGCTTTTTAATGTAAACACACACTGTGTGCAGCACTGGCGTTAGTTCATATGGCAGATCATATGAGTGGGGCATTGTGATGTGACATGTGGGGGCAGCAAATTTTTATTTTGTCTAGGGCGGCAAAAATCCTTGCCCCGGCTCTGATCCTGGGCAGATGCACCAGTCTACTTGACTGGTTTTGCCCCACAGGCCTAAGGCTGCCAGCCCTCCCCTGGCCGCTGGGGAGGTCTTTTGGCGGCCGCTGGCGGACTTGTCCTGGCGGCCGCTGAGGGAGCTGCGCTGGCTCTGCTCCCCAGCACGCAGCTGAATGAGACCGGCGCCGGAATATGACGTCATATTCCGGCGCCATTCTCATTCAGCAGCGCGCGAGGGCGGGAGGGCACTAACACTGGAAGCACCTCTAGTGACCGTCTGAGTGACTGTCACTAGCAGTGTCACTTTGAAGCAATGTAAACACTGCCTTTTGTCTGAAAAGTCAGTGTTTACGTTGAAAAGCCTGTAGGGACATGCTATAGACACCAGTACCACCACATTAAGCTGTGTGTGTGTATCAATGAGCTTGTGTGTGTCACTGAAATGTCAGTGAAATTGCCTGTGTCTGCATGTGCGTATGCTCACTGTATAATTAAACGTTTTACCCTGAAAGGACCAATATTTATATTAGAAAAAGCAAAATATATATATATATATATATATATATATATATATTACTCAATCATCTGTCCTGGCAAGACATAGCCTTACATATTACACGCGACAATATATGGCGCAGTGACTTATGGGGCTGGCACAAATTTTTTTCCAGGGCTGCTTTGTATCCCCAGTCCGGCCCTGACAGTAAGTCATGTTTTAGTATCCCCATGTGCATAATGGCGATTTGCCTTTGTCTTGGGATATAATTGAATTACTTCTCAATTATCTCCAGGGCAGAGGGGAGGAAGCCAGGATGCATTGTGGGAATATAATGTGACTGTGTGTCCTATTTGTCTACTTGTCTGTCTTTTGTCACAGTCTCCCATTTGGTCCCCTAGGGGAGTGTCCAGCAGGTGGGAGACCTGCATAAATATTGGGCAGGTAGCCCTCATTAAACAGACCACTGCTTGACCCTCAACACGGAGCCTTGTCTCGTCTTTGGGGGGGATTTACTGAACGCTGATCGAGACTGATTGCTAGGAGTGTAAGCCGCTTGGATGCTTTTCCTATTCGTCAGCTAGCAGCGATTCGTATGGTTCCAGTTTGTGTGTTTGGAGTGCTATATTGTATGCCGTTCGGGAGTTTGGAGCATTCCCTTATTGGCGGTTCGGGAGTTTGGTGTTCTACAGTAGCTGTGCCTGCATCTCGGAAAGGGGACGATCGCCTAAACGGTTTTTACCCCGTGTGTGCAAAACGGTCCGTTACAGGAGCTACCTACGAGCTCGAACCTACCAAACCAGTCCAAAGGCCTACCTATTAGCCCTGAACTCCAAACTTTTTCCCCATCTCCCTCTTTTTTCCCCCCAACTTTACTCTCCATCCCCCGCCGCGACCAAACGGGAAACACCTGAGAGTAAAGGGAGGGTGGGTGGGACAACAAACAGGTAGTGTAACTTAGATTAAAGTGATCCTGGGATCTAAAATGGCCACTACTTATACTCCCCTTGAAACTCCACCCCAGCATTACCAGTGACCAAACCCTGACCCCCTGACCTTTAGATGGCCTGTCTCCTGGCAATGTCAAGGCCCACTCCCCTTAGCTACGCTGCTCCATGGGCTACATGAGTGTTCATAAAAGTGCTAATTTCTATTGAAATCTGCACGTTTTGTAAAATAAAAAGGACAAACTCTTCACACATAATGAATGTAAACGTTCTGTAAATGTGTGGAGTGCCCATTTAACTACCCATTTTCACTGAGCTATGTTAAAGCATGTCAATTGTGTTCTGGTTTAGCTCTAAATGGAGCTCTATAGGTTCTTTGACAATAATGAGGCAGTAATGTAAATCAGGAAGCTGGTTATTCAAATTGTTACTCCAAATTCATGACTGAACTACTAAACTAGGACAAAAAGCCACCAGACCTTCAAAAAAAAAAAACCAAATGTATAATGTGTGTATTTGGCTCCTTCAAAATATCCTTCATATTCTACCTGAACTGTCTACCTGAACATTAACAACTCCATTGTCATATCAAGTCATATAACAGTAACTGGCTGAGATAGCTATGATGGAAAATCAATCATGCAGGCTGCCACCCTCCTATAACACAGTGGGCAGCTGGCAGCTCAGGGCTTGGATCCATGGCTGCTTCCTGATTGGCTGCTCAGTTAAAGGGCGGGGGTGCTGGGTCCCACGTGTTCGGCGCCTTCCTCTGTCCCAGCCCGCATTGTCTGAGTGTCCCTCCTAGCTGACGGTCATCATGCCTACATTTGTCCTCAATACCAACGTCTGCCGGGATGCCATCCCCGAGAACCTGCTCGCCGACCTTACCAGCCAGCTGGCCAAGGCTACGGGAAAACCTGCAGAGGTGGGAGGATGGTGACAGGAAAAGGGCCCCTAGGGACCCCACAGGAGGCTGTGCTAGGATCTATTGCTGTTGGCTGTGCTCAACTGGAGCCAGACTCTCTGACCCTTGCATACTGCCTATTGTGTGTGCGCCTTTATGCAATGCTATCTGCCTAGGCTGCTCTGCCTCTTTAAATCAATTAAACAGTGTGCTGCTTCCCTTCATACACCTGTTGTGCTTCTCTGTTTCCACGTGTGCAGCATAAGAATGCTACCTACCGCTCTTCAGACACAGCATTAAAAGCATGCGTCTCAGTACAGGGGGAAAAAAACATGGCGGAAGTGCTACCAGTCCCAGATCAGAGGGGGTTAAAAGCGCCAGGGGGCACTGCCCAGTCAGACATTAGACTGGATTAGTGCATGGCGTATGCTGACTGTAACGGTATTCGGGAATGCCAACTCATGTCTGTATTCATTATTTAAATAATAACCTCCACACCCTCCCCAGTATTGATTCTTTATTTTGTACTTATTTAGTATCAATGCAACTAGCAAGATATTAATAAATCTGGATGTAGGGTGACCGATTTTTCTGCCGAGTTTGTCAGAGGTAGTAGTGCAATCGTGGAAAAAAGTGGTGTATATAGTTGGTGTATTTGAATTGGTAGTGCTACCTAGTGGTACATATGGTAGATGTCCGTTTCTAAATCCAGGTCAAAATGGATTCTACTTGACATGTCTCACTTTCATGGTAGAATAACTTCCTGGGTAACTAATTTTTTCAGCATTTACACATCGTGATGTCATAGATATCTGCAGGAAAATTTAATTCTTAGGTTTGTATAAATGATTTTTCTTCTGTGTGAAATAACCTTTTGGAACCAAAGAAGTCTATTTCGATTGCGTATCCTATTTTACACTGGTAGTTTCACAATATGAAACCGCAGTGCGTGCAACACACATAAATCATTGAGTTAGAAATGACAGAAAAATATTAGGTGATGGGTGGGTTATTCAAACTCCAAACTGCTATGGCTGCCTATATTTTCACTTTACTACAATGTATGGTTTATTAAACATGCAGTATTTGTTGCTTGCAAATTTCTAGAAACGCCACTCCAACAGCATTCACATCTAACAATGTGTATCACAAACTTCCAGTGCAATACTAACAAAGTGAGCACTTAACATCCATTAAGTTGTGTTTGTGTTAATCAAATAGTTACTCGCTAAACTGAGAATTGACCAATTAATTGCAGGTTTTAGGTCAAAATGGACCTTATTAGTATGTGTATCTAGGCCTAAACTGTGAAATCCCTGACAATTTTGATGTAGGAAATTAGTTTTTTTCTAATCAATAAACTACCAACTTTATATTAATAGATATTAGACCATCATGCCTTTTTAAATAATGCTCTTTCCTTACGTTCCGATACTACCACTTGTACCAATGTTGTCCAAAGATACTATGCAAGTTCTTAATGCAAGCAACCTGTTTTAGTAGATGAACGTTATCACAATGTGTCTGCCCTATATTTATAACTTGTTTTCTATTATCTTCTTTAGTACATTGCTGTGCACATTGTGCCCGACCAAATGATGAGTTTTGGAGGATCAACAGACCCATGTGCTCTCTGTAGCCTGCACAGCATTGGCAAGATTGGGGGAACTTTAAACAAGACCTACACCAAACTGCTGTCTGATGTACTTAGCAAACAGCTCCACATATCTGCTGACAGGTAAGTAGACCTCATGTAGATTTTACTGTAGTAATTAATGTCAAATGTTATTAGCCACACAGCCATTGCGCCAGCTATGTTGTATGCTTTCTTCTAACTGGGTTATTCACTGGAGTCTGAATTCAAAAGGTTAAAATAGCCAAACTGAAAAAAAAACTTTCTATGTCCGCTATATTTTCGGTTTACCCACTTTGGCCTTAAATTTTAGATTAACTATCACTTCAGTGGATAAACCTGTAAGTGTCCACCAGGATGCATTTTCTGGTTGCTGTCAGAGTCCTCTCTAACTAATAATTGAAACATGAATCCAGGTTTTTGCATCCTGCAGTTAAAAGGTATACTCAATGCACCAAAACAACTTCACAAAATAAAGTTGTGATGCCAGGAGGCCCCTGGAGGCACGCTTACCTCAAGGGTTTAAACCTTTCTCAAATGGTTAAACCCAAAAATTGTCTCCAGCGGCAATCTCCACTACCCCCAGGTGGCATCTGGCTTCCGAAGTATCACTTTCAGGAAGCGCTGATTGGCTGAGAGCGGTCAGAGGACTCTCCATTCACAAACCTTGCTTGGTAAGAAACATACTTTTTCAAGCCAGTTCTGTAAATGGGAAGTCACTTCTTGGGGCTAAGGGGTGCTTACAATGGAATGTCCACTGCACCCCCTTCCCACATTATTATTATTGTTTAGGCCCCACATATTTATCACATTTAGACAGGGATACATAATTTTGTGTGGGCTGCTACTTTTTGTTTTCCTCCTCATTCACCGAAAGGTCCTTGAACTCCTGGCTAAGAAGAATGGCCTGTTTATTGGCTCCTAAAACTAAACCCACTACTGCAGCTCAGCCAAAGTAAATAAAAACAAACCTTTATTATATAGTGTTGGAGTGGGAGAACTAGTGTCTTTTTCCAGACTTTTTTTTTTTTTTTATGAGATACTTAACCATTTTTTTTTCTCCTGCAGGTGCTACATCAATTTCTATGATTTAAATGCTGCAAATGTGGGCTGGAACGGTTCTACCTTTGCCTAATGATGATGATCCTTGGGGAGGCAGAAGCTTTTTGTCATCCACTTGTATCCTGTTTCCCAGAATCCTGTAAAGCACTTACGGTTAAGCATTCCTTACTGAATAAAATATGTATGTGAAACCTTAACAAAGTGTCACGTGTAGTTTTGGATGGGCATGCATTGCACTTTTTGACAGAGAGCAGCAGTAAATGTGGGATAATCACCAAAACGATTTATGTTTATCAAAACAGGCACGCGTGTTAAGATATCCAAACATTAAATTCTTGATGTGCATTTGTAAACCACCAACCTCTAGTTAGACAAGGCAGAAGCTTGTTGTGGTGTATTACCAAACTCTATAAATTATGTACACATATAAATTCTGGTCCGTCTACTTTAACAAATATTTATTCAGAGACAAAACAACAACAACATACAAATAATGACACACAATCTAACTATACCACCAACAACAGCAACAAAAACCTAACTAACAATAACAACTACATCTTATAAAATCCCACTCACAGTTCACCATGATAGAAATTAGTCTTAATGTGGGGGTTTTCAGAAATCCGTAGAGATTTTGATAGTAGTAACCGTAGTTCTTAATCTTTGTATGTATCCAACCTTTAAAAAAAGGATACTAACATAGCGTAATATAGTTACAAATTTATTCCCATACGAAAAAAAACCCCATAAGAGGAACTCTTACAGTGTGATATAGTGAAACTTATTTCTAAGCTTCACATTAAAACATTAGTAATACAGAGTGTTCGTTGATAGGTAAATGGTTACCGCTCCGTAGATGTTGAATTCTGGACCGGTCCTGTGCACACGGATCCGTCCTGCCGGAACGCCAAATCACCGATGCTGTTCTGCACACTCCTCAAATTCAAAAAACCCGCCAAAGGCACGATCTACGCGTTTCGCTCGGTTCCACGAGCTTTCTCAAGATACAGTGTTTGGGGGGTCATGTGTTCAATATAAACGGTCATTCACTTATTCAATTACTCAATTAAGAATTCCATTAATTTTTTTTACATCTCCATATCCTATGATCATTAACAACTTAACATTCATCAATTTAAATTATGTAGTTATTATAACATGAATCAATTCCTATGAATAAAAGATAATCAATTCTAACAGATAGTTTTAGCAGATAATATCCATCAGTAGCAAGCAGATGTAAATTCCGTTTTTCTGCTTGTTATACAAATATAATACACTTCATAATTAATGTTTCTTAAGCTTCCAGTAGCAAAATCATCAATTAGAACCTTGGAATAATAAATTTAGTTTGCAAACAAAATAAATTGTGTATGATGGAACATAATCAAAATTTACACAAACCCTTCTGCCTGACATTAACAGCTAAGTCCTGATTTTACATACACTCTAAAAAATGGTGATTAATAATGTTGTTTTCTTCTTCCCTTATTATTTAGGGTCTGAATACTAGATAGGACTCTTTATGTCTGTGTTAATCTTGACAACAAAAGTGTATATAAACACCTTTATGATACTGCTTAAAGGTGCAGACGTTATTTTATATAGTCAGGTCTGTCTGATAGTTCCAAATTAGATGAGTATTTTTAGTGAATATTTTTTTTGATAAAAAACTTTAAAAGCCTATTATATTATTAAAATTATAAAACATGGGCTATTTCCACTTCAGCATTAAGTCCAAATGGGGACAGGGTTTTTAATGTATAGATCCAATAGGTTTCCCTATGGATCAAACTTTTCATTAAATCTCCCCCTCTCCAAGGGACTTTAATTCTTTGAATTCCACAATAAGACAATGATGTTGGATTACTATTGTGGTATATTTTAAAATGCTCTGACAGTGAATGCTTATCAAATTTTCTATTAATATTTTATACATGTTCTCCCAATCTAGTTTTAAGCATACGTTTCGTTTGTCCTACGTACTGCAGGCCACATGTACAACCTAATAAATAAATAATCTGTTTGGAATTGCACGTTATGCATTCCTTAATTTTGTAATTCTTTTTAGTGGTTGTAGATGAGAATTCTGAAATTGCCCCAAAAGGTGGACCTGTCAACTTACATATTTTACATGACCCACATTTAAAAAATCCTGTATGGGAATTCAAGAAATGTTTTTCAGGGGACGGTCTAATGTGGCTATGTACTAGTGTGTCTTTTAAAGTTGGTGCCCCCCTGAATATAATTTTGGGCTTTGGTGGTAAAATAGATGCCAATATTTGGTCTTGTTTTAACCTTACCCAAGATCAAATCAAGGTACTTAATAGAGGCTTAAAATATGCTCCCACCATAAAATCTAACCCTTTTTCCAATTTTTTAGACGTACAAAGATTTATGAGAAAATTATCATTAAAACGCTTCTTTCTGAATAACCCTAGCTCCACCACTAGAGAATTATCGGTAGATTCTTTTCAACATACGGATTTAAAAAATAGATCTAAATTCTGTCCTAATAACCAGATGAGTGCATCCATGAATGCATTCAGTCTGGCAGTAATGGCAGACTTGGACAAGATTCCAGAGAAAATATCAGGTCACAAATATAATCTGTCAAGGATGGAGAAAAAAGCCCTCCAAGAATTAGAGAAAAATAATTTAATTACAATTAAACCAGCGGATAAAGGAGGAGGGATAGTAGTGATCAACACTAAAGATTACGATATCGAGTGTAACAGGATTCTGAATGACCAGAATACATATAAAAAGCTCAATGGAGATCCAATTATAGAATTTAGAAAGTCTTTATTAAAACTATTGGAAAAAGGAAGCTATATGGGAATTTTAACCAAAAAAGAATTAGAGTTTGTCACAGTCATTCATGCGAAAAAACCTGTATTTTACTACCTCCCTAAGATACACAAGAGCATCACACAGCCCCCTGGTAGACCCATCATCTCAGGGATTGATTCGTTAACAGCCAACCTTTCACAGTATATAGATGTGCTATTACAACCAGTCGTTAAACTTTCAAAATCTTATCTTAAAGACAGCAGCGATCTCCTAAGAATTACACAAGAGATCACCTGGAAAAAAGGTTTATGGCTGGTTACGTGTGATGTAACTTCGCTGTATACCATAATCCAGCATGATTTAGGAATCCAAGCCATGAGACATACTCTATATGAAAACCAAAGTTTCAATATGGAACAAGTAGAATTCCTATTAGAATGTATGGATTTTATATTGAAACATAATTTTTTCTGGTATAAGGAGGATATTTTTCTACAGATAAACGGGACAGCGATGGGGACTAGGTTTGCACCCAGCTATGCCAATATTTTTATGTCATTTTGGGAGGAACTTTTTATTTGGCAAGGGCATCGCTGGGTGACAAACCTAGTCCTCTATAAACGCTATATAGATGATTGCTTTTTCATCTGGGAAGGCACAGAGGAGGAGTTACTAGATTTTTTTAAATATATGAACCACAACAATTTTAATTTATCTTTTACATACTCCTACAGTGAAGAGCACGTGGAATTTCTAGATTTAGTCCTATATGTGGAACAGGAAATTTTAAAATCTAGAACTTTCTTCAAATCTGTAGATGTAAATAGTTTTATTTGGACATCTAGCTGCCACTTCCCTTCTTGGTTACAAAGTGTTCCTTATAGCCAATTTTTAAGGATCAAAAAAATTGTACAGAAGAGGAAGAGTGCAGAAAACAAATAAAGAAAGTGGAAAGCCAATTTTTAGAAAAAGATTACGACCAGGATATACTTGATAAAGCATCAGATAAAGTCTCCAGAATAACTAGAAAGGAGATTTTAGCGCAAAAGGAGAAATGAAAGCCAAGGAAATTTCTTTTGTCCGTTAATTTTTAATTTTAACGCTCAGTCTAACTATATTAGAAAGGCAGTGTTCAAAAATTGGGACTTGTTAAAACAAGACCAAATATTGGCATCTATATTACCACCAAAGCCCAAAATTATATTCAGGGGGGCACCAACTTTAAAAGACACACTAGTACATAGCCACATTAGACCGTCCCCTGAAAAACATTTCTTGAATTCCCATACAGGATTTTTTAAATGTGGGTCATGTAAAATATGTAAGTTGACAGGTCCACCTTTTGGGGCAATTTCAGAATTCTCATCTACAACCACTAAAAAGAATTACAAAATTAAGGAATGCATAACGTGCAATTCCAAACAGATTATTTATTTATTAGGTTGTACATGTGGCCTGCAGTACGTAGGACAAACGAAACGTATGCTTAAAACTAGATTGGGAGAACATGTATATAATATTAATAGAAAATTTGATAAGCATTCACTGTCAGAGCATTTTAAAATATACCACAATAGTAATCCAACATCATTGTCTTATTGTGGAATTCAAAGAATTAAAGTCCCTTGGAGAGGGGGAGATTTAATTAAAAGTTTGATCCATAGGGAAACCTATTGGATCTATACATTAAAAACCCTGTCCCCATTTGGACTTAATGCTGAAGTGGAAATAGCCCATGTTTTATAATTTTAATAATATAATAGGCTTTTAAAGTTTTTTATCAAAAAAAATATTCACTAAAAATACTCATCTAATTTGGAACTATCAGACAGACCTGACTATATAAAATAACGTCTGCACCTTTAAGCAGTATCATAAAGGTGTTTATATACACTTTTGTTGTCAAGATTAACACAGACATAAAGAGTCCTATCTAGTATTCAGACCCTAAATAATAAGGGAAGAAGAAAACAACATTATTAATCACCATTTTTTAGAGTGTATGTAAAATCAGGACTTAGCTGTTAATGTCAGGCAGAAGGGTTTGTGTAAATTTTGATTATGTTCCATCATACACAATTTATTTTGTTTGCAAACTAAATTTATTATTCCAAGGTTCTAATTGATGATTTTGCTACTGGAAGCTTAAGAAACATTAATTATGAAGTGTATTATATTTGTATAACAAGCAGAAAAACGGAATTTACATCTGCTTGCTACTGATGGATATTATCTGCTAAAACTATCTGTTAGAATTGATTATCTTTTATTCATAGGAATTGATTCATGTTATAATAACTACATAATTTAAATTGATGAATGTTAAGTTGTTAATGATCATAGGATATGGAGATGTAAAAAAATTAATGGAATTCTTAATTGAGTAATTGAATAAGTGAATGACC